GCTAGAAGATAAATCAGTTCACTAACCACCGCGCTTTGTTTTTCTTCGGGCGCACCAGGAACACCGCATGCTTTATACTAGCTATTGATACTACTCTGTATCTGTAAGCCCTGGCCTCCGATGTGAGTGCAGTACACTGGGTCTTCTTGTCAATGTATCGCTGCGCCTTGTACTCGATGAATCAGTAGCCCTGGTTGTCTCCATCTTGCCGTATATGGAATAGTAGCAAAATGTTTGCAAAACATTCCTCAGTTTTGCCGTACTCATCCTTCCCATCGATTGCTATGTCCAAGAACCAATCCCGGCCATGATGTGTCGGGTGTGTGCGAATGCAGTGAGGCAACCGGCCATAGTCTGCATCAATGGCCGCCGACATTGCCAGCTCCCATTGAACCTGCCATGGCACATTTCAAAGCAGTATGTAACGCACAATGTCAACGACTGTGGACCGCAGAAAGGATTCGCTCATGACACTGATATTTACGTTGATGTACTCCATCAATTCTGGGTGGCGTCTGGTCAGCAGGGCTTCATCAAGCACGGCACCAAGGTACTCACTGTCACAGGATCGAATGTGTCGAGGAAAGATTGCACTATCGATCAGTACAGGGCGCTTTTATACTTCCAGAGTACATCAGGTAACCATGTTTATCTTATCTTAGGAGAATAGACCCTTCTAGAAGATAGAATCACCCTGCGTATAGCCACGCGAGGCTATTGGCTTTAAGGGATTACAGCAGGATTACGCTAGATAGAGCGCACTAGTACATCCCAAGCCTGGTCGGTGATATAATGATAATAGCAGGATAAACCAAAGGTTAATGGAAAAGGAAGAATAGGAAACCAGATGAGATGGAATAAAAGAGAAATGAAAAAGGAAGGAAATAAGGCCAAGTGGTGTAACGGGGTCGTACTCTCACACTTCCCCCCCTCACAGCTGGGTGGTAGAAGTAACACCCTGCTTGACAAGGTAGTCATGCAGAGGACGACGGGCGTTACCCATGTCGGACTCAGGTACCCAGCTGTCCTCAGAAGGATCATAACCCTTCCAACGGATGAGAAGCTCCACGGTGCCATTCCGACGACGGCGGTGTGCGAGCACGGACTCGACTTCGTACTCGGGTTCATTCTGGACGAGGACGGGCGGTGGCGGCGGCGGTTGGCGTCCGACGAAAATCGTGTTCGGGTCCCGATAGGGCTTCAAAAGTTGGACGTGGAAGGCGTTGTGAATCTTCCAGGTAGCTGGCAGGCGTAATCGGAAGGTAACAGGAGTGACCTGTGCTTCAACGAGAAAAGGCCCACAGAAGCGAGGTCGAAGTTTAGATGGGAGATGGCTGATGTCCAGGTTGCGGGTGTCAAGAAGCACCTGGTCTCCCACCGTGATGGTGTGATCGTTGCGATGGCGATCGGCTTGGCGCTTCTGTTGTTGTTGAATGTCGAGTAGGCGCTTGTGGGTCCGATCCCAAAGCTGATGCATGGTTGTGATGAAATCATGTGCTGGTTGGACTGTAGCTGATGCTGTCGGTTTCTGTGGTGTGAGTGGGTGGCGTCCGTAGCAGAGGAAGAACGGCGTCTGTCCAGTAGCGGCATGTGTAGCATTGTTGTAAGCAAACTCTAGTACGGGCAGGTGCAAGTCCCATTTGGAGACCTCGTCCTTGCAGGCTGCTCGGAGGAGTTGCTCAACAATTTGGTTGAGGCGCTCGGTCTGTCCGTTTGTCTGCGGATGGTAAGCAGATGACATGGCGATTTTGGTCCCGAGGAGAGACATAAGTTCCTTCCAGAACTTGCTGGTGAACTTAGGGTCTCGGTCGGAGATGAGTGTGGTTGGAATGCCATGCTGTGAGATGATGTATCGAACGAAGAGTTGTGCGGTTTCTTCGGTGCGTGCTTTCGTGTGTGTCGGGATGAAGTGTCCCATTTTGGAGAACTTGTCAATGACGACGAGGACTGCGTCATGACCGCTAGTTGTAGGTGGTAACTCGGTGATGAAGTCCAGGCTAACCACTTGCCATGGTTGTTCTGGGACAGGAAGAGGCTGCAGTAGTCCCGCCTTTTTCTGCGTGGTACTCTTCATCCGCTGACATGTGTCACACGAGGTGACGAATTTCTGGACATCTTCTGCTAAGTGGGGCCAGTAGTAGTGCTTTGCGATACTGGTCAGCATCTTGTTGCTACCGAAGTGTCCGGCGTAGAGGACGTCGTGGTATTCTTCGAGTAGTAACTGGCGCAAAGGAGGGTAATTGGGTACCCAGATTTTCGTTGATCCTTTCCGGTACGCGATGTCACTGTCCCACTGTAGCAGATGTCGCTTTTCTGCCAAGGGAATCTCGGGGTCGGTGGCATACCCGTGTTTGAAGAGTCCCTTGAGTAGTGGATTCATCCCTTCGACCTGAATAGCGGCAACGTGTGCAGGCCGGCTGAGAGCGTCTGCTTTGTTCTTGTGACCGGGCTTGTACACGATGTCGTAGTGGAAGTGTGTCTCGAGGAAGTCGATCCACCGGACCTGCCGCCTGGAAAGGTTGGGTTGTGTCTTCAAGTATTTCAAGCTGCAGTGGTCAGTGTAGACGGTTGTTCTTCGTCCTTCGAGATAGCATCTCCATGCTTTGAAGGCGATGATGATAGCCAGGGCCTCCTTGTCGTGTATCGGGTAGTTTAGTTCTGCCCTGTGTAGTTTCTTACTTAGGTAAGCGATTGGTTGCAGTCCATTCCCTTGATCTTGCATCAAGACTGCTCCCACTGCTTGGTCACTGGCGTCAACTTCGATGACGTAGTCGCGTTCGGGATCTGGCAAAATGAGTACCGGTGCGGACGTAAGTGCTTGCTTTAGCTGCTCCACGGCTTCCTGGTGCTTCGGCTCCCATTTGTAGGGCGTGTTCTTCTTCAGCAGATTCGTGAGTGGTGCTGCGCGCATACTGTGACACGACCCTGTTGTAGTAATTAACAAAGCCTAGGAACTGCTTCAACTCCTTCACGTTCTCGGGTGTCTTCCACGTGCGTACGGCTTCGATTTTCTTGGGGTCGACGTGAACTCCTTGAGCGCTCACCATGTGTCCTAGGAACTGGACCTTCTCAAGGGCGAATTCGCTCTTGGACAGTTTGACGTAGAATTGTTCTCGTCGAAGAATTTCGAAGACGCGTCGCAGGTGTTCGACGTGCTGCTTCATGTCGCGCGAGTAGATGAGTATGTCGTCCAGGTACACCACCACGCACTCGTCCAAAAGTGGTCGTAGAATGTGGTTCATTTCGGCTTGGAACGTTGCCGGTGCGTTGGTGAGTCCAAATGGCATTACCAAATACTCGTACGATCCATACCGAGTTCGAAAAGCAGTTTTGTGGATAGAGTTGTCCGCCATGCGTATCTGCCAGTATCCGGACCGCAGATCTAGTTTGGAAAATACCGTAGCTCCCCGAAGCTGGTCAAGCAAGTCATCGATTCGTGGTATCGGATATTTATTCTTGATGGTTTGCTTGTTAAGAGCTCGGTAGTCGATGCACATGCGCAGGCTTCCGTCCGGTTTTGGTGTGAAGAGTACTGGGGCACCGTACGGCGAAGTGGATGGCCGGATGAGTCCTTTGGCTAGGAGATACTCGATTTGTTCTTTCATGTCGGTCAGCTCCGTAGGGCTGAGCCGATATGGTGCTCGGAAGGTCGGCTTCGAACCCGGTTCCTCCACGATCTCGTGTTGATGTGTTCGGTTTGGCGGTAGCTCATTCTGAAGATCGCCCGGAAGAATATCTTGGAACTCCTTCAATAATTCCTTGATCTTTCCTGGAGGTCTGAGGTTCTCTCCCTGTCGTTCTCCGCCTCTGTTGCTATTGCTAGGAACCCTGTGTCGGTTCGCTTCACGTCCTTCTCGAATCGTGCGAGTGTCTCCACTGGGATATCTCCTGTATCGTCCCAGTTGGGTAGCTGTACTCTCCGTCCATTGTTGTAGTTGCTTGCGGTGTGGTTCACCCAGTTGATCTCGGGGTTGAATCTTTTTAGGAAGTCTCGCCCGAAGATCAGGTCAAGCCCTTTGATGTTGGTGATGGGAAGTGCAGGTTTCCAGCGCAGTGGTCCAATTTGTAGGTGTAGCACTGCTTCCCCGTGTACTGGTAACTTGCTGCCGTCCACCATCGTTGCAGAGAATCCTGAAGGCTTGTACTCTTCCTGAAGTCGGTCGATTACTGCCTTGTCGCAGACGGTGTGTGATGCTCCGCTGTCCACGAGTGCTTGGAGGCGTCGTCCTTTGCAGATGACCTCGAGCACGAGGGGCAGTCGTTGCTCGGAGTACCCAAAGATAGTTTCATTGATAGGATCATAGGGTACATCCCAATATTCCGTACACACCTTTGTGTTGCTATCTACTCCTGAGCTGGCAGCTGACCAAGGCTGCTTGGAGAACAGCTCTTCTCCAGGGCCCGGATTTTCCTTGACGACTGTGCGCGTCATTGATGCCGAAGAACTGGATGCATCCGGAGGAGGTTTTTGGGGTTTGTGCAGCTTCTTATAGACCCCCAGCTTCCTCTTGAGCTGCTTCAGCTCCACCGACGTCTTCCCTGGGGAACGGGTAGTCGTTGTGGGCTGGTGTCGGGAGAGGACGTTGACTCCGTGGAAAGGTCGGCTTCTTTCCACACTGCGTAATTTTTTCCCCAAGTTGTCCGGTACCGGTATAATCTCCACAGCTGTCTGCTTCTTTTGGAGTCCCTCCCGAAATTTCTCCAAGGCTCTAGCTTCTCGAAAATCATAAGTTTTCATTAAAGCATCTTTATAAGATAACTTTAACGAATTCTTATAATTTCTTGGGTCTTCAAGGAGTTTCCTTTGTTAGTATTAAGGACGGAGTCTAGGTGAACTTAGGAGCTAGAATTACTCAAAATATAAATCCGAAATTCTGGACAGAAAAGTCGTCTTCACAAGAAACGACGTCGACAAAAAACTAGCCGTTGGAATATCGTGAAACTCGAATATGTTGTAGCTCTTAATCTCAGCTACCGTTCTCAATTTGAATCACGTTGATTGATGAAGTATTCGCGACGCTATGGCTTTCGACGCACTAGGGGGTAAGCTGTAGGAGGAGAACTTATCTCAATCTCAAGAGTTCAATCAAAGTTCAAGAATCTCACAAGGAATTAGAAGGAGCAAGAGAAAGGTTGGGATAGGAAGAGATGGATGAGAGGGAAGGTCCCAAGAGAGTCCCCAACCAAGGAAACCCCATAAGCACAAAGATTCCCTCCCTATAGGAACCTCAACTTTGACCTTTGTCCCTTCCCAACCAATCCATCCAAGTTGGCCACCCTTGCCAACCTAGCTTGGTTGTTCCCAACCAATTTGCAGCTGTTACAGTAGAGTGACAAGTTTCCCCAACCCCCAAAGGTCCCAACTCCATATAAAGTCACCCCACAACTTCACTTTGTAACCGCCGCAATTGTAACGCAAGCTCATGAACTTTGAATCTTCATAGCTTTCGCGTTCTTGCTCCGATTGAAGCGATTCTTGTTGCGTCGGAAAGATCTTCTCAAGATCTATCATCACAAAAAACCTGCTCAGACAGAATAACACAAAACACATTCCCAAACTCCAGAACACACCACACACAAATTCTTTCACACGTTCAAACCACACATGCAAGTTGAAAAAACATGGGATGGGAGGCAGACAGAATGTGATAGCATATGATGACATCACACAACAATCTCCCCCTCTGGCTGCCAACCATCATCGACCATACCACATCTCAAGCATGCATACTCAATGCACACTCATCCCAGCAAGCTTCATGCCCTTCCAATGATCCGCCTCCGCCAGACGCTTGGTGAAAATATCTGCTGCCTGCTGATGGGTCTTCACTATCTCCAGCCGCACCTCCTTATCAAGGAGTCTCCTCACCCAATGCCACTTAGGCCTTATGTGTTTTGTCAGCCCATGCAGACAAGCATTCTTGGCGAGCTTCACTGCAGACTCATTGTCACAGAACACAACTGTCGGCTCCTCCTGACCAACTCCCAACTCCTCCAACAAACGCCTTAGCCATACCACTTCCTTGGCCCCATGGTGTAAGGCCATGTACTCAGGGATTGGTGCCCAGTAGCAGTGAGCGATCTCATCTTCCTCAATCTGCTCAACCACACTCCCAGCCTGCACCACATTCGGCTTGCCTCTTCCCCCATAGGTCAGCCTCACAGGAGGGCGCACATCCCTCCTAGGACGCTCAGGCGGGTGTGGAACTCGAGGTGGAGACTCATGTTGCTGCTGTTGCTGCTCCACTTCAGCTGCTCCCCCTTCCTCAGTCACCCCAGACATCTCCTCCTCAGACACTGCAACCTCCACCTGTCTTGAAGGCCGCTGCACCTCATCTACCTCAACGAGCGGTGTAGATGGAAGCTTCTGTTGCTGCTGCTTCCATTCCTTGTAGTACAGGGACTCAAGAAACTTCACATCCCTTGACACTGTCAGATTCTGGGTGGTCAAGTCCCATAGCAACCATGCTTTGTGATCCTTTGCAATCCCCAAGTGCACACCCCATCTTCCAGAAGCCTCCAACTTCCCCCTTTTCTCCTTGGGCACATGAAACACCACCATGCACCCAAATGCCCTCAGCATGTTCACCGCTGGAGCACTCCCATACCACTTGACATATGGGATCCACTCCTTATCTCCAACTGTAGCCAGCACCCTATTCTTCACAAGGGCGACCTGCCTCAGTGCAGACACCCAAAACGGATCAGGCAGCCCTGCACGCCCAAGGAGAGTGCGTGCCCCCTCCTGCAGGGTCCTGTTGAACCTCTCAGCCACGCCATTCTGCTGTGGGTTGTAGGGCACTGTCAGTTGATGCTGGATCCCCTTCCTCTTCAACTCCCCCTCAAAATCAGCTCCAATGAACTCCCCACCATTGTCACTGCGGATCACCTTCACTTTGTGTCCGCATTCCCTCTGAGCTCTCGGCATCCACTCCTTAAGGACAGCCGCTGCCACCTCCCCCTTGCTCTTCAAAGGGTAAACCCACACTGCCCGAGTGTGGTCATCCACAATTGTCAAGAAATAGCGGCTGCCTGAGAGGGAAGGGGCTCTTGTGGGCCCCACCACATCCATGTGCACAAGTGCAAGTGGGGTCTTGGCTGGTCCTGTAGTGCTGTTGAAGGGGAACTTGGAGAACTTGGTCTCCAAGCATGTAGGGCAGCTCCCAATCTCCTTCAATCCCCCCTTTACCTCCAATCCTTTCAGGCTCCCATCCTTCACCAACTTCTGCAGCATAGGGAAGTTCACATGACACAGCCTCTCATGCCATGTCTCCCAATCGGCCTCTCCACTCCTTGATGAAGCCTTAGCCCATGCCGCACTTGCATCCACACCAGCAAGCACCTCACCATGTGTCTGCTGCTGCTGCACTTTCTTGACTGCTTCCAGGACCCCATCAGTTGGTGCAGTTGCATCTCCTCCTGCTGTTGCCTTTGCCGCTGCTGCCGTTGCTGCTGTTGGAGTCTTCCCTTGACACTGTCAGCTTCTGGGTGGTCAAGTCCCATAGCAACCATGCTTTGTGATCCTTTGCAATCCCCAAGTGCACACCCCATCTTCCAGAAGCCTCCAACTTCCCCCTTTTCTCCTTGGGCACATGAAACACCACCATGCACCCAAATGCCCTCAGCATGTTCACCGCTGGAGCACTCCCATACCACTTGACATATGGGATCCACTCCTTATCTCCAACTGTAGCCAGCACCCTATTCTTCACAAGGGCGACCTGCCTCAGTGCAGACACCCAAAACGGATCAGGCAGCCCTGCACGCCCAAGGAGAGTGCGTGCCCCCTCCTGCAGGGTCCTGTTGAACCTCTCAGCCACGCCATTCTGCTGTGGGTTGTAGGGCACTGTCAGTTGATGCTGGATCCCCTTCCTCTTCAACTCCCCCTCAAAATCAGCTCCAATGAACTCCCCACCATTGTCACTGCGGATCACCTTCACCTTGTGTCCGCATTCCCTCTGAGCTCTCGGCATCCACTCCTTAAGGACAGCCGCTGCCACCTCCCCCTTGCTCTTCAAAGGGTAAACCCACACTGCCCGAGTGTGGTCATCTACAATTGTCAAGAAATAGCGGCTGCCTGAGAGGGAAGGGGCTCTTGTGGGCCCCACCACATCCATGTGCACAAGTGCAAGTGGGGTCTTGGCTGGTCCTGTAGTGCTGTTGAAGGGGAACTTGGAGAACTTGGTCTCCAAGCATGTAGGGCAGCTCCCAATCTCCTTCAATCCCCCCTTTACCTCCAATCCTTTCAGGCTCCCATCCTTCACCAACTTCTGCAGCATAGGGAAGTTCACATGACACAGCCTCTCATGCCATGTCTCCCAATCGGCCTCTCCACTCCTTGATGAAGCCTTAGCCCATGCCGCACTTGCATCCACACCAGCAAGCACCTCACCATGTGTCTGCTGCTGCTGCACTTTCTTGACTGCTTCCAGGACCCCATCAGTTGGTGCAGTTGCATCTCCTCCTGCTGTTGCCTTTGCCGCTGCTGCCGTTGCTGCTGTTGGAGTCTTCCCATTCCAAGGGATGATGGGCAGCTGCCACAGGTCCTTGATGCAGCTGGTCTCCTCTTCCAGACTCCACAGCACCTTCTTCCCAAGCTTAGCACGGCAGCTGGTTGGTCCAAAGGTCACTTCGGCCTTACTCTTCTGCAGTCGCCGCACAGAGAGAAGGTTAGCAGACAAGCCTTTAACCAGCAGAACATTCCCAAGCCCCACAAGCTCCCCATTAGCTCCCTTAACCTTGGCATTCCCAACACCAATTACGGGGAGCAAAGCACCTGACGCTGCTGCCACATACTTAATCTTCCCAGGGGGTTTTACCTCATCAAGCAAATCTGCCCGTGGAGTCATGTGACTGGTGCAACCCGAATCAATCACCCAGTGCGTGAGAGGGTGCATCACAACCTTTCCCACAGATCCCACATCACCCTCATGCCCATGCACATCCTCAACCATGAGATACATCCCAGGATAGGCGTTACCTTGTGCACCTTCAACTTGTGCACCTGAGCCTTGCACAGCGCCACCTTGTGCGCGTTCACCACTTGGCGGCTTCATGCCTGGAGGTGACCATCCCTCCGGCCTGCTGAAGCACTTGAACCAAGGATGCCCGACCTTCTTGCAGTACCAGCAGGTGCCCTCCATTCTGGTACTCCCCCTGCCACTGGAGCTTCCATGCCCCTCATTATAGTCACCTCGGCCTCTACCTGTGCCAAAGCTTCTCCCACGGCCTCGGCCTCTCCAACCCCCTCTTCCTCTGCCGCGCCCTGCAGCTCCATACCCCTCAGCAGTCTTAGTGGCAGCACCGCCTCCCACATGGCGTCTGCGGAAGTCCTCCTGCATAATCTGCTGCCTTAGCCACTCAGGTGTCCATTGATCTTGCTGAGAGTTGAGGGTGGGGATGAGGTTGTCCCAAGAGTTGTCCAACACCGAGATGATCTTGGTGCACTGCTGCAGCTGAGATACACTGCTGCCCGCTGCTGCCATCCTTGCATAGGTGTCCTTGATCTTGTCAAGGACCGGCTTCACATCGTCCCCTGGTCGCATGGAGATGGCAGCAAGTTCCTTCTCGAGCACGATCACCATCAGGAGAGTGTTGGGCTGAATCACATCGCGTAGTAGTTTCCACGCCCTTGGACCCGAATCATCCGCTTCCACAAGATCCTTGATGTGCTCGAACATCTCCTTGTTGACCGATTGAAGGATGAGGTCGAAAAGCACCGCGCTTTTCTCAATCCACCGTTCACGTGCTTCGCCTTCTTCCGGCATCTTCTCTTCCCCAACAGCAATCTTCAGTAGCTTGTAGCGTTTGAAGGCACTCCTCATCCGTCCGCTCCATTCCTCATAGTTGGAGCCATCCAAAGCTTCAACTTTTGATGGCGGCGGCTCACTTGTCTTCTCAGCTACAGCTCCTCTTCCATTAGCATCTCCTCCTCTCTCATTCATCTTCTCCTTGAGAAATGACGAATTTCAGCTCCCCTTTGCTGTCCACACTCAGCTCCCTCGATATTTTCACAAGTGTCGGCGTCCACGAAATTTCGGCAGAGTTTCCCCTTAGCGGAAGTCACATCCAACCTTTAGAACACCACTTAGGCACGCCCACAGGCCATGGTGGGTCTAGAAGGGTCTTCACACTTCTGTAGACTCCTCTCAATGTCCTCAATATTGCTCTGATACCACTTGTTAGTATTAAGGACGGAGTCTAGGTGAACTTAGGAGCTAGAATTACTCAAAATATAAATCCGAAATTCTGGACAGAAAAGTCGTCTTCACAAGAAACGACGTCGACAAAAAACTAGCCGTTGGAATATCGCGAAACTCCAATATGTTGTAGCTCTTAATCTCAGCTACCGTTCTCAATTTGAATCACGTTGATTGATGAAGTATTCGCGACGCTATGGCTTTCGACGCACTAGGGGGTAAGCTGTAGGAGGAGAACTTATCTCAATCTCAAGAGTTCAATCAAAGTTCAAGAATCTCACAAGGAATTAGAAGGAGCAAGAGAAAGGTTGGGATAGGAAGAGATGGATGAGAGGGAAGGTCCCAAGAGAGTCCCCAACCAAGGAAACCCCATAAGCACAAAGATTCCCTCCCTATAGGAACCTCAACTTTGACCTTTGTCCCTTCCCAACCAATCCATCCAAGTTGGCCACCCTTGCCAACCTAGCTTGGTTGTTCCCAACCTATTTGCAGCTGTTACAGTAGAGTGACAAGTTTCCCCAACCCCCAAAGGTCCCAACTCCATATAGAGTCACCCCACAACTTCACTTTGTAACCGCCGCAATTGTAACGCAAGCTCATGAACTTTGAATCTTCATAGCTTTCGCGTTCTTGCTCCGATTGAAGGGATTCTTGTTGCGTCGGAAAGATCTTCTCAAGATCTATCATCACAAAAAACCTGCTCAGACAGAATAACACAAAACACATTCCCAAACTCCAGAACACACCACACACAAATTCTTTCACACGTTCAAACCACACATGCAAGTTGAAAAAACATGGGATGGGAGGCAGACAGAATGTGATAGCATATGATGACATCACACAACATCCTTGTCTCGGCAGAGTCTTTTTTCGCGGAGTCGTTTTTTTCCTCGGCGATTTTCCCTGGCAAGACTGGTCGTGGGGTGGAGATTTTGCCCCATCATTTCCTCCTTCTCGCGTCGAATCAGCTTCGTCGAAGTTGATTCTCCCGGAATCCCGCGGCCGCTTTCGGATCTTTTTATTTTCGCCAGCTAGATTCGCAATTACTGGCGACTCCCGTATTTTGGCTTCTGATTGGCTGAAGGAATTCCACCACTGTTGCGTGTCCGATACTCTGCGCGTGCGGCTTTCATTTTGTTGCAGTCGAAGATTCGATGACCCGGCACCCCGCAAAAATCACACGTGTAATTGGTGTTTTTTGGACGTGGCCGCCCCTCGAATCTGTCGACTTCCATCGGGTCGGCGAACGTGGGGTGAGCCGAGCGGTCGCCCTGTTGCGTACTGCCAACGTGCGTCCGTCGTGTTCCGGCATTGACCATGTCGAAGCGCTCCGCTGCTGAAACGACGTCATTGTAGCTCGCGTAGTTTGACGCTGCGACTTGTCGTTTGACTTCGGTCTTCAGCCCGGCAAGGTACGATTGTACTTTTTCCCCTTCGGTCAGGTCGGGAATTCGGTTTTAAAATTCCTCCATCTGCTGCGTGTACTGCGCTACACTCCCGAACTGTCGGTGTCGATGAATTTTTTCCCGGGCAAGGAAACTGGAATTTATCGGCTCGAAGCGTTTCAGTAGGTCAGCGCGGAACTGCTGCCACGTGGCTTCACCGTGGATGAAGGTACTGTTGCCGCCAATCCACTCGAGTGCCGGCCCTCGCATCAGTGTCGCCGCGAGTCGTACACGTTGACAGTCCCAGACTGGCGAGCTCCATCCGACGGCTGCGAAGTAGATCTCCATCCCGGCGATCCATCTGCGGGCGTCGGAGTTTCGATCGCTCGGATCGAACGGCTCTGGTGGGCACGGTTTCGGAGCCTCGAGAAACTGCTGCGACTGCTGCGTCGTCGCCGTTGTCGTCTCGTGGTGCGCTCCGGCGAGTCGAGTTACTCGCTCGAACTTGTTTCGCCATGCTTCGCGATCCGCTCGCATTTCCTCCTGAAGGGCGGCGATGCGCGCGAAGAGCTGCTGGGTAACCTCGGTGTTGTCGAAGGTTGCCATCCTGTTCAAAACACGCACGGAGGGGGTAATTCGAAAATCGCGGAGCTGGTGCTTACCAGAATCGGCGTCGAATTGGTCGCCCCCGGCGGTTTTTCGAGGCAGGTTTTCCCGCTGCTGCTGCTTTGTTGAGCGCGGCCGAGTGAGAAAAGCTCTTATTACCAAGTGTCACAGGATCGAATGTGTCGAGGAAAGATTGCACTATCGATCAGTACAGGGCGCTTTTATACTTCCAGAGTACATCAGGTAACCAGGTTTATCTTATCCTAGGGGAATAGACCCTTCTAGAAGATAGAATCACCCTGCGTATAGCCACGCAAGGCTATTGGCTTTAAGGGATTACAGCAGGATTATGCTAGATAGAGCGCACCAGTACATCCCAAGCCTGGTCGGTGATATAATGATAATAGCAGGATAAACCAAAGGTTAATGGAAAAGGAAGAATAGGAAACCAGATGAGATGGAATAAAAGAGAAATGAAAAAGGAAGGAAATAAGGCCAAGTGGTGTAACGGGGTCGTACTCTCACACTCACAGTCTTTCCCAATGGCTGCTAGCAGCGGTTCATCAAGCTGAGGTTTAGGTGCACATGGAACCACATACGGCGCTGCTTCACGCTCATGTGGAACGTGGAGACGCCAGCTTCTTCTCGACATAACCCATTGGTTTGTCCGCTGGGCCTGTAAAACACGACAAAGTCCATGGACAACTTAGTGCCCGCTGTAGTAGTACATAACGTGGAGGCTCTACCCATGGGTGCCAGCTCACCTTTACCATGGCCGTGTTGTACTTCTTTGTCTTCCACTGCAAGGGTACGAGCGATCTCAGAAGCAACCTTGCCTCGTCAGCCTTCACGACTTGGGAATTGACATTCCGCTTGTTAAATGCTCTGTACGGGTCTTTGATGTACTTGATATAAAGGTGTTCAAAAAGCTGTGCACATTAGTGCTCCGGAAGTCCAGCGCGTCGGATGGAGTCGATGTAATGGTTGATGAGGTGTGTTTTGATGATGTTCCAGTCAGAAGTTTGGGGGAAGGAGTATTGGAGCCCATGTCTCATCTTGCCCGTCATAAACCTCGGGTGTCAGCGCACATGACGCCACAGCGCACGGCACATTGAGTTTGGAATTACACACAATCCGCTCACCTCTTTGCTTTGTCTCTCAGATGGATCAAAGAGTTTTCGGTGTGCTCGCTCACACGGGCACACTTGAGGTACCATTTTGTGTACGCAATGATGGCGTCCATCTCCCACTGTGTCAGGAAACCAGTGATCAGGAATGGCAGCACTTGCATAATTGATCGTTCGTCGTACGCCTAGTAGTTTGCACCCTTGGAAAATTACTGCCCTGTGGGTAAGCGCAGGGCGCCCTATCGTGAATGCAGCTTCAGTTCCTTCAACTCGCAATCGAGGAAGCGCAACACAATGTCTGCCAACAGCTCCTTGATCGAGTCCATGATGTGCTTGAGGATTCCGAGATCAGATTGATGCATGATGTCGGGAATTACAGCCAGATAAGGATTGAGCACCGGGTTGACCTCCCACCTCCAGCCCCACAGAAAGCTCGCAAAACAGCGGCAAGGCATGGCCACTGGATTAGCATGTGCATTCCAAGTCGCGCGATATATCGATGGGGGGCAGTAGTGTGGTTTCGTATCTTTACAGATTGTGTCGATTGTGCTTCTAGTGAGCCGGACGTTTTTTTTTTCCTGAACGATGGATTGCTGTTCGTATGATGTTGGTGGCTCGATACGGTCCTTAAAGTCCTTGAGCGCAGACTTTTGGACCTTGCACATCGAATATGGGAACTTCGTTCCGAGAGATTTCGTGCATGTCACCTTGCACGACTCTGGGAAGTCGCATACATAGGTGTACAGGGACGGCCACACATTGAAAGCTGTGCCCTCAACATCGATCATAGGCACACCAGCGTGCGAAGCTGTCTTTGCAGGTTTCAGAGCTTGGTTGACAATGTGATTAAACACCTGCATCTTGTCAACCGCTGTGTACATAGGGGGGTATGTAGGGAGCAGCGGCAAAAGTACATGGCCGTATGGCTTTCACTTGTCATCCTTGTCGATGTTTCCGAGGGTTAGGTAAAGCGGGTGCCCCTTGGCTTTCCCCCGATGGTCCATATGGGTTTCATCGCTGGCCAGAATAACTGCGACCATTGTATCGTCTTGGTCCTCCTCGAAGATTAACTTCTCGAGTGTCTCCCACCACAGTCCTGTTTCAGGGGTGGTGAACACACCGGTGTTGCCATCGTGGGTTGGATTGGCACGCATGACCAGTTTAGGAGCCAGCTTTTGGTGTTTCAAAGGATCCTTTATTGCCACCATGATGTCGCAGTACCAATACTCAATAAAGGCCTTGTCCCTGACACGCACAACCTCCCTCCGCCACTGCCTGTGAGCATCAGGGCATTTGGAGTCAGCGTACTGCTGTATGTCACGAACACTCTTCCAGTAAAAAATGTCGCTGATCTGTGCCCTCTCATGCCTTAGGATAGCCAAAAACTCATCGATCTTTGCCTGCGACAACTTGCTTATCAAAAGCCTGTGTGAGAGTGAATATTTGATATCAAACCTCTCCTGCTCTTGCTCCCCCCCCCCTCAACCTCCTCGTCGATCACCCCGTTCCCCCCGGACCCACCAACTGGTGGGTTGTTTTCATTGATATCGGGAAGAACATCATCAAAAGGCATCCTATCATCCTCTCCACCACTGGAAGATCTAGAGTGGCTAGAGATATCACTGTCAAACATATATATAGTTTATGTTTGTATAGACTGTATAGGTTCATATCTTAGAGGGTACAACACTTAGGCTTATACCCTTGTACTGTTTTCTCTCGACATTCGATTCTACGTTAAAATGGTATCACGCTTGGTAGGCAGGTTCCGCCGCCCACGCTTCCGCCCTAGGCCCTCGTTGCGCCGCCCCTAGCTAGTCGCGCCCGTTCCTAGCCGGCCCCCTGAGCCGTCGCGCCCGTCCTAGCCGGCCCCCTGAGCCGTCGCGCCCGTCCTAGCCGGCCCCCTGAGCCGTCGCGCCCGTCCTAGCCGGCCCCCTGAGCCGTCGCGCCCGTCCTAGCCGGCCCCCTGAGCCGTCGCGCCCGTTCCTAGCTGGCCCCTTGAGCCGTCGCACCCGTTCCCAGCCGGCCTCCTGAGCCGTCGCGCCCGTCCTAGCCAGCCCCGTGAGCCGTCGCGCCCGTTCCTAGCCGGCCCCCTGAGCCGTCGCGCCCGTTCCTAGCCCGCCCCCTGAGCCATCGCGCCAGTCCTAGCCGGCCCCCTGAGCCGTCACGCCCGTTCCTAGCCGGCCCCCTTAGCCGTCGTGCCCGCCCTAGCCGGCCCCCTTAGCCGTCGCGCCAGTTCCTAGCCGGCCCCCTGAGCCATCGCGCCCGTCCTAGCCGGCCCCCCCTGAGCCGTCGCGCCTGTCCTAGCCGGCCCCCTGCGCCATCGCGTCCATCCTAGCCGCCCCCCCCCCCCCTGAGCCGTCGCGCCCGTCCTAGATGGCCCCCTAAGCCGCCGCGCCCGCTCCCAGCCGGCCCCCCCTGAGTCGTTGTGCCCGTCCCTAGCCGGCCCCTCGCGCCCCCGTCACGCTCGCTCCGTACCGGTCCCCTGCGCCCACCCCTTGTTGGCCCCGAGCCCTCTCCTAGTCGGCCCCTTCATGCCCGATCCGCGCCGGCCCCGCGTTCGTTTTGCCGTCGCTCAACTCCGACTCGTGCCCGGCTCATCCTTCCCGACCAGCACCGCACTGCACCGCCCGGCACCACTCTACACCGCACTGTACCGCACAGCACTGCACTACACCA